TATCACAGAAACTCACCCCTCCTTCCACTCTAATTCTGGTGCTGGGATGTGTGTTGACAAACAAACAATGTCCCACCCACAGGCACATGGCAGCACTTGGTTATTTTTCTCCTTACAATAAATAGCAAAGTGACACCCAGTAACTAGCTTTATTACTAGCGTGACATGGGAATCTAGAAGAGGTAATTTTCAGCTAATTGCCTCTGAGCTGTCAAATTTCTCTTAAACCAAAAGAGAATCGACCCAAGAAGTAGCGTTACTTATCTTAGATTAACAACACCTCAAATACAGAAGTGGTTCTGTTCAGGAATAACTCTGTTCCTTCTTCTCAGGCTTTCAGCAACTGGAATCATCACTTCTGCTATTTAAGCACCGTTTTAATCTGCTTACTCCTAGAAACCTAACAAAACCAGGCAACTACTAAAGCTGCATCCTCCTCTCACCTTACTGTGTGTAAGCATACGTGGGGGGAGATCTCAGCTCCAGACTGCTGGTGTTACATCTCCTGTTTCATTTCCTTGCAGCCCAAGCCCGCTACCACCTCCACTGTTTTTAAGTCTTGCTCTCCTGAACAAATGCAAAATTCTGTGTAGAAAAGGCAGTTCGGTCCCCTTCATACTGACAGGTCCCACGTTACTGGCACACCACTGCAGTGTCCCTGCACACACCTGTGCAGAAGGGCCTCACAGAAATCACATCACGTAAAATAAACACATACATACACATGTCTCACGTTAACACATGGTATTATGGTACCATAATGATCAAGAGCATGAAAAATGCACCAAAGCAGCGTGGTTATTAATAGCTCTGGTTTGGATCATTTCCTATCCATCTGTATCTCTCAGCAGATCGCTTAGCACGTCCCTAATCTTGAATACAAAGTTCTCCAGGCTCCTGGTAGACTCAAGACAATTCAAACCCACAGAAAAAAAATCGCATGCTTTATGCTCAGGTCCTTCCAGACATGAGGCCGAGGAAGCCTGTGCAGCATGAATTTCTTTGAGTAAATGAAAGCCTGTTTATGCCCACTAGCCTCTCCCTGTATCACATCCAATTAAAGATCATCACGCAATGCCACGCGAAGACAGCAGCTGACTCGCTGGCAATTATTGGCTCTTTCATGCTGAAAACGTATTTGTCCCAGGGGAAAAAGGCATCTGCATAATTAGCAAAAGCAGTTATACAAAAAATAATTAGCTTGCTGAAAGCCTGAAGGGGGGAAAAACTATAATTTTTGCTTCAAGAGGCTGACTAATTACAGGCCCGATAACAAAACAGAGATGCACCACGAATCATCGAGAAACCCAATGTGGATTTTAACTTCATATTCCAGACATCAGGTCTGCTGGTAGCCTAGCAACAAGCAGCATACTTCAGCATACCAAAACCTCCCTCCCTCCTCACGAAACACCTCGCACAATGCAAACCTCCCCCACCCCGCCACTCGCTCGATTCTTCTGTTATCCAACAGCGAACACAAAACCTAGCCAAAAAAATCAGCCACCAAGATAAAGCCAAAGCAACACTACTGGACCACAACAGACAAAAGGAAATATAAGGAAATAATTCCTAGCTTTGGTTCTTTACAAAGCTCGGTCTGATTAGAGCTGATTCATTTGTTTTACAGATGGGATCAGAACACATCCTGTTCTTTAAAGGACTTTCACTTGTAAGCTGAATAAAATGTTGTTCACCTGTGTATGTGTCATAGAAAGCATCAGTTAAAAGAAGTCTTTAGCAACTTACAGAAACCTTACTAATCTTCAAATTACTCCTGATATCCAAACAATGCTGTTGCAGTTGTTTGTTTTTTTTTTATTTGAATCTTCAGTGACCAGCAGCACTAGCATCGATCCCACTCACCAGAGGGAGCAGTCCATAAATCTCATCCCAAGCAGTAACCTGAAATCTAAAGGATCACTCTTAACCCAAATTCTTCTTTGACCAGATATTTTGGCATGCTTTACCCTTTCAGAAACAATTCTCACCTTCCCACCTGCCCAGTAACACTGTGTTGTGCGAGAAGCCAGCTTTGCCAACCATTTTCAAACCCTGCTGTAATTAGCACACTCCAGCTGTCCTGGGCCAGGGCTCAGTAACAAACTGCTTTTATTCATGCAGGGAGCATCCAGGGCAGAAAATCCAGCGTGAGCAGGTGCTGCTGCATCTTCTGCAATGCTGACGAGTGCTTACAGAGCTGCAGGCTGCACAAACATCTGCCTGTCTGCTTCCCAAAACCTCTGGGACACGAACGCAGGCTGTGTAGAGCTGGAAACAGAACAAGGTAGGTGCAGAGAGGCACTAACCTGAGTTTTTAAGACCTGGTGGAAATCTACCACATTGCCTGAAGTGATCCCATCCAGGCCATGTAACGTCACTTACCAAGGGCTAGCAGCGTGCTCACGTGTTTGCTGCTGCTGTAGGAAAGGCCTGGGAGCTACAAACTAAAAGGAGTGCTCCCAACACTAACAGGTAGGCATCCTCATAATCAATACCGTGCTCTGCCAGAAGCAAAGGACTAACAATGCTGAGACAGCTGTTGCCTGAGAAAGGCTAATCCTTCGGTCATGCAATATTTATCGTTCTTCCTGGTGACAGATGCTGAAAATGTCACCTTTGTTCAAAAGCTGCAGGAGGCATCAGGGACATAGGAAACCCTACAGGACTTGCCTTTAGGTCATAACAAGCTTGTGACCATGGGTGAAGATGAGCCTCATCACTGGCTTACACAACCTTGAAGAGATAAACTACCGATTTTCTCATCCTTGGCAAAAGATGGAGAACGTCCTGGTAGACCAACAGGAGAGGCTATCCTTCCTGCACCTTGCAGCGCTCCTCCACACTCCCCAACTCCTCTTCCCTCATGCTACTTTTTGGTCTCAGTGCCCACTCAGGAGTTTCAACAGAAGAGAAATGCTAACACACCAGGGACTGCATCCCGCCACTGCACAGGCAAGGACAGTGAGAAATCAGGTTGGGTTAAGCAGAGTGAGGAAGGCAGAAGTATTTGTGCTGGGAAGCACAAAAAGACTGTTGGTAGAGTCAAGGGCATGAGACAGGGTGTGTGAGGTCCTCAGCAAGGGATTTAAATGTCACATTCATCAGAATGGTGCCAGAGGAAAACTAAATTTTCAGCAAAGCCTAAAAGTAATAAATTAATACAGATAGATGCTTTACTTTCTTGGTGGTTTTTGTTTGTTTGTTTGTTTTTTGTTTTTTGGGAAAAAAAAAAGGTCATGTTCTTAAGGAATCCTTCCTTGACTGAGTTTTAAAACATATGGTCTGCTTTCTTGGAAAGAGATGGCACACCAAGAATCATCTGCCTACGAAAGGTCATCCCTATTGTCCCATCTTGCTTCTTTTGATGTTTTCAAGATTGCCAGCAGCTATGAATCACATCATAACATATGCTGGGACATTCAGTCTGGAGACCAGAACCACCTCTCAGAAGCCAACCATTAGCAAGTGACGGCTCAGGTACTGCTCAGGATCCTGCATATCCTAAAATAATTGCAGAGCTAAAACTTGCATTGTAAATCCAATTTAACTCTAGCTTTTCACTCTTCACTGAAGTTCAGTTCTTACACGTTATCTCACCTCTTTCATATTAATACTCTTCTAATCAGTTGTGACATACCTGACTTTCTACAAAAATCACTTTCATTTGGCTTTGAAAAACCCTGAGTAAATTTAGCTTAAATTTAGCTAGTGGCACAATAACCACTCAAAACTTTTCCCCTCCTCAGAGAGGAAAGACCCAGCAGAAATCCCACCCACAGACATCATCCCAGCACATCGTTTGTTTAAAATGGCAAAGTAGCAACTCATCTCACAAGGCACAGAGAACAGCAAGCTACAGGGTATGATACACCACGTGAACTTTTCCTGTTTTGAAAATCCAGTCCATTCCACTGCCAGCAAAACAAAATTCCTACCATAGCCTAGCCTGTGGACAGCAGGGAAGTTGGATCAAGAGCATGCTTGTTTCAGTTTGAGCTAGGATTTCAGAATAAACATCTAGAGGTTGTAAACCTCAAGGTGTTTGCTAAGGGATTAAATATTTACTTTCTCCTTTTAAAAAAGTACAAGGAGATTTGCACCTCAGCTGCACTCATGAGCAGATGAGACCACTCATAACACCATCTACGTGTACAGACCGTATTTTCCTACATTATGCAAAAGCAGAGGAGTTTTAACCCATTCCAACACAGAGGAACCCATCACAGGTTTTCATCATTTACAGATGGAGAAGGGAATATCATATGACATTTTGGAATAACCCAAAATACAACTTAATTTTCAAGTAAGTCCATTTTATTCATTCCTGATGAATAAAATGAACCTGCAGCACTGAACCCGCATTTTTTCCATCTCTGCTCTACTCAGCTCTTGGCAGAAAGATGAATTCCCTCCTTTAAACAGAAAGCACCTCAAAAATATTTCTAAAAATGAATGATATAAGAAAAGCAGTAACAAGACACTTGTTTTTAAAGCAAGCAAAATTCTGCGCTTGGACAAGTGCAAAAAGAAAGTTCCTATAAGAGCTTTCACTCTAGTTACCAGTGATACTCATACAAAGCATACAAACTTAGAAATTGCAAAAATACAATTCCTAAACAGTATGAGTATTAAATAGGACACTACGTTAGTATGTACACCTTGTGCTTTGTAGGGCATTAAAACTGAAAAGTCTTTTTCTCTTAATGTACTATTTATTTTGCTATCAATTTAAAGAAAGATGCCCATGGACTTGAAAACAGAAGTTGTATTTTGCTAATGGAAGTCAAGAGGAAAACAGAGGTAGCAATACCTTCTGTTCTTGAAATCCACCTTAATACTACCAGGAGCACAGAGCAGACTAACTAAATGTCAAATCAAGCTGTGTGTATATTTCCGAACGATCCCCCATATTTGTTTTTTCCTAGCAGAACACTATTTTTCCATCCATAGTCTCACCAACTGAAGGCACCAAAAAGAATGCAGGCACTTCTACTCACCCCCTGAACTCTGGATCATGTTTCCAGACTTTTGGACCTCGTCGAATTTTGTAAAAATTACATTCAACCTGTTTGAAAGTTAAAGAAATAAATCTACAATCAGTAGTTGAATTTAACTTTTAGGAACTTTCTTATTTAAGATATTACAGGACAGATTTTGCTTCATTCACATCATTGGAAACACCGTCAGAAACGTCAATATGGAAGGAAGTTGTTTCAAAATTATTAAAAAAAAATATCACAATGTCCAATACCTGATAAAGAAAAAAAAACAGTGATACTATACAGACAAAAGAAATATGATCGGAAATCCTGCACTACCGAAGATGTGGCAGGTCTCCTTGTAAATGCATTTCCAGTTCATTACCGCTTTGCCTATTTTTAACTGGTTGCAGAAAAACAACAGGAAAAAAAATGCAAACTTTGCACAATGTTCTTGTTTGCCCATGACATTTCTTTCCTAATCATGTCATGGGCCCAACAGAGCAGATCTTTACCCCACCTCATTATTCCCTCCTAGAGAGCATTCCCCTTTAGGCCATGGTGCAGCAGATGCTTTCACCAGAAAACAAGAGGCAATAGTATCACACCCCACCTCTGAAACCACCTCTTTCCCTGCTGCCTTTTTGTGCACTGACACACTGCCATCTCCTCCATCCTCTCATCTAACCATGTTTGATCCTGCACACTGGGAACGGCAGCAAAACTAGAAGCACAGAAACAAATCGCCACCCAGGCAGCTGCACACACAGCCCAGGATGCAGCTGGGGAAGTTGCAGGTGAGGTGAATAAAGGCTCTCATGTAACCACCTCACACATCAGGTCTCAGAAACGCACAGGCTTAAAAAACAAAAACACAGCAAATTCCTGGATTTCACATTGTCAAAGATCACAAGCCCTACACTAAGTATCTGTCCCCAAGAAGTCGACTAGCACTGACTAAAATGTTGAGTATGATTTAGTGGCAGACACAGACAGCCTGTTTACGTTTGCCTTGTTTGTTTTGTTTTAATAAAGCCTTGTAAGTGATGACACTGACTACAGGGTTCTCCAGATGACAACCCTGTAAGTCACATACACCCAGGCTACTTTAAATGCCCTCTCTAGAGAGATAGGACAAACACCACATTACATCTCAACTCGGATAACTGGTTAGCTTTCAAGAGATGCCGTGGCCATAATTTTGAGATACTTAGACAAAGGTACAGGATCCACGTTAAACGAAAAAAACAGGTAGGTGCATGTAAGGATGAAAGAAAAACTCTGATCCCAAGAAATGGTTCAATCATGCAGCACATGAAACCTTGTAAAAAAGGAGGGGATTAAAAAAACACACAAAAATAGTTAAAACATAAGGATCTTCTCAACTTACCGAGACTGGGGTAATCCTTTTTTACTGAGATCAGCCCTTACACGTTCACCGACATGCCTGTAGATCTCCACAAGGCTGTTTATTGCTGCATCTCGAACCTGAACATCGGATAGGAGAGAAATCAGTCATCTTTTTAATTTAAATAAATAAATCCCTGCCCTACTTTGGAGAAGGAGATTTGCATATTTCCCAGCAACAACAGCTGCCCCATACACATGATCACAAAAGCCTCTGCTCCTAGCGGTATCAGTGTATTCCATTAGCAGTATCAGGAGGTCTAATTTTACCTAACTTTCCGTGCTGATGATAAAATATGGAGGGAGGGATCATCAGGCACCTGAGTCACCATGTGAAAAGCTGAGTGAGCTGCCAGCAGAGCAGTTTCCCAGTCAGAACCCCCAGACCCAGTGCTCCTGCACAAAGCTGGTTCTGGGCTGGATATTGCCAGCAGAGGAAGCAAAAATACCACAAGGGTCAAAGTACCAAAAGCTTCCGACCCTCTGGCCAATCTTTACCTGATGATAAATGAAATTCACCTTAGCAGCACAGCAAAGCAGCAGCATGAGGCCATCAGTAGCTGCACACCCTGTGCTTTACCTGCTGTCCGAGGTAGCTCACCAGCACCAGGAAGGAACACAGCCTAGATTCCCTGCTGAATCGTTTTGCATGTTTTCCACACTCATTTGCAAAACTGACTCCTGGGCATATCTTACCCTCTACCTCCCACGGGAAGAGCTGGCCCCCAGTGCCCTCCCAGGGCAGCCCCGAAGGGTTGCAGGTTTGTGCTGAGCTTCGCAGAGGTCTGTTTGGGGACGGGGTGAACCCCACAGGGGGTGAGGCAGGCTGCCCCTACCACCACGCTGGCTTTAAGCTGCCATAGCAGTAGCAAAACGTCAGGGCTCAATTTTATTTCTCTAGAAGCATAACAGGATTTACATGATAGCTACCTGCTGCTCACCGTGCTACATAAGCTCTTAATTAGATAAAAATAAATAAAAAAAAAAAACACTCCGTCTGAAATGGCAATCAAAAGCCTCTCACATCCCCAACAAAAGGGAGAAACACTGCGCTTGCCATGGATCTCGCTCTGCACCACGTTTCACCAAGAGAGGGCAGCATTGACCGAGCATCAGCAGGCTCAGACGTCCCACGGCTCAGAAGGCACCCTCGCAGACAAGAGATTTGTATCTGACCAACTCGGGCACAAGATGATTTAGCAAGTGGAGGCCCTAACAGCCATGGAAATACGGCCAACACAAACCCTTTCCCCAGGCGCCTGCCCCAGAAAGCAGATGGAAGTGACAGGCTCTTTTTTCCAGTACGTCTTTTTGACTTGTTCTGTGAATTTAAGGCTCCCATCCAGCTTAGCTTGCTTCCAGCCCTTACTCACAATCTCCTCACACAACTTGTGGCTAGGCTGTCAGACTGGTCCCATTTTGCCCTCCCTGCCCAGAGGCGTTTGTATCTGAAGGTGCTCAGATGCTGCACTGGGCCCAGAGAGATCCCCCAGCTTCCCTTGCACTCAGGTTTTTGTTCTGTTCACATCACCTGCAGACCGATGCTGTTCTGCTGAAGTTCTGATGCGATTTAGATGTTGTTGGAGACATATTTCAAACCTTACCCATTCAAAATTAACCAAAATTTCCCAGTCAGCACTCACCGAGGGCAGCATGGTCAGCTAACTCATCAGCCAGAACCCAGAGCCCCAATTACTGATGAGGGCAATCAGCACACCTTTAAGAAGCAACTCGCACCAAACACTTACCTGGCTGTTGGGATCTCCAAGCAAGTTACAGATGTGTGGCACTATCTTACTCAGCGTTAAGCTCTGAGCTCCAGATCTGGCAACAAAGAACAGAAGGAAACTAGCATGAATCCTGGGGCAAGCCTGAGTGCACAGCTCGGGTCTGCAGGAGGCTGGACTTACGCATTGAGTGTTGCGATAAGGCAGAGGCAGATCCCTTCTCTTGTCCGGAAATTCTTGTGTTTGAATCCTCCTAGCATCCTATCCCACACGTACTGCGGAAGACAAGAGAAGGTGAGACATGGAAAAAGGAAACAGACAAAGAGAGGCTGTTTCACCCAGCAGACACGCACTACAACACCCCTGGAGCTCATACATAAGCTTTACATCAATCCCGGCAGAACGGGACAGGTGGGAAACCATTTTTAGGTGTGCCAATTCTTTATTCTTTGCTGAACTCACCCTAACTCACTGCTAGCTAGAATACTTTTACAGAAGCAGAAGATGAGTTTTGGACAGGAACACAGGGGAAGAAGCCTTCTGATAGAAGGAAAAGCTGGAAAGAATTAACAACCCCGCAGAACACCAGAGCCTGAAGCCATAAGGTCTCAAGCAGCTCCTTGCTCATCAGCCAGTTGCTCACTTGCACGCTGTGAAGGCTCGTCAGGCGTACCTGCGGGTTAGCAGCTTGATCCATGATTTTCAGCAGCAAGGTCTGGTCCTGCTCCCTCACCGAGTCTTTGGAGTCTCCCAGCCGGTCGAGCAAACTTGGCAGCACTGCAGGAAGAGCACAGCGACACCCCAACCTCTCAGAAGGAAACTGCTTTGACACCCTTTGGTTTATTATTTCCTCCAGTTTATTATTTTTATTTTCCCCCTGTTACAAAGGCTCAGCCTCTTTCCAAGCTGCATTTCCACAGCCCTGCACCCACATACCCTGCGTGCGGGCCCCTTACCTGTGCCGATCTGGGCCTTGAAGCGGTCCTGCAGGCGCGACACCAGGGCGGAGAGGATGTCGATGCCCAGGAGCACCACCTGCAGAAGAACACGGGCACGGCTCAGCCGCGGGAGCCCCTTAAACTTCCACTCCCCGGGGTGCCCGCTGCCTGCAGCCCCGCCGCGTGGCCGCCAGGCGGCGCTAACGGGCGCCTCCCGCTGCACCACCGCCCCCCCGGGGGAGACCCCGCCCCCTATGCAAATCAGCTCCCCTCCGGCGCGGGGCACGCTGGGTAGCGCCTCACCGGCCCCCGCCGCGGCTCCAACCGGCGCCGGGGAGGGGCGGGGCGCGAGCTCGGGGGGTCGCGGGCACGCGGGGCGCGCCCCCGAGCCGCGGGGACGCGCGGAGGGCGCCGGGCGCGCGCGTCCCCTCGCCGTGACCTGGGCGGCGCTCGGCCGTCCCTTAGCGCGGGCGCGCGGGAAGACGCCGCAACCGTCCTTATCTTGGGGTTGCGCGGCCGCCCGATGAACGCGTGGTGAGGGCGGCACTGCTAACGCCAAGCAACACAACCGGCGCCCGCTCACAGAGCGAGGCGCAATTTTTGGAACCGCGCCGCGGCACCGCCTGCCCGGCGCCATGTGAGCAGCAACACGGCAGCACCGCAAGAGGCTCCAGCCCCTCAGCAACGCGGGGTGCACTTGCACACCCAGGCGCTGCACTGCAAAGCTCACTTCTGAGATAACTCAAAGCGCCTGCCCCCAGCGCCTGGGCGGCACTGAGAGGCCGGCAGGCAGCTCCGTGTATCAGTGTGGTGGGCTTGGAGTCTCAGCGGTGCAGAAAAGAAATTGCAGGAGAATTCAGCCACAGAATCAATATTTGTAAATACTCTTCCATAACCTTCGATACGCAAAGGCCTGGAGAAGCACCAATGTACTCGACAAATACAACACACGGGTGAGAAAGAGCCCTTCCCAGATAGCACAAGCCTCAAGCACGGGAGCCCTGGCAGCACTCCCAGCACTGCCCATAACTCCTCAGGGCACAGAACATCCACACCCCAAGATCCAGCACGGGATGCTCCCTGCCTTTGCTATTTTAGTCCTGAAGCCAAGCACGTGTGTGGGGTCAGGGGGCAGTAACACAACCCCCAGCAATGGATGAAGATGAGACCCCAGCCCGACGGCTCCAGCACAGCCCCCGGCCACATGCGCTCCCCTGCCCACACGCTTTGCATGGCGAGCAAACAACAAAAACACAGCAGCAAACAACAAAAAAACACAGCAAACAACAAAAACACAGGCACGACCCCAGGATGTGGCAGGGGGAAGAATCCTGGTCCATCAATTCCGAGTCTCTCCGGAGCCACACGATGCCATCCTGCCCATCACACAGCGCTTTCAGAAGCCACAAGCGATTCTGGCTGCCGGGCCATCGATTCAGTACAGCCGCACCTCCAGGAGCAGCTGCCTGCTCGGATGGAAGTTTTGCCACTGGAACGTGGACCACAACCTGCTGGAATGGCTTCCAGTGGAGGAACCCGCCTCTTGCTTCTCCTCATCCACAGACAGATTCCTAAATACGCAGCCCCCCACAGCTCTACCACAGAGCTCGAGCATTTCTCACACCTCCAAGTCATGTTTGTAAGAACCCACCAAGCAGCAGCACCTGAGGAGCACCGCTCAGCCCCCGGTTCAGCCACCAAGCCCACCTGAAGCCCACAGCGCCAGGGACAGCAACAAAGGGCAGCAACAGCCACGAGCAGAGCGACTGCCTGGCAGACAGCTGAGCTAGCAGCAAGGAAACTGTACAGAGAGCAAAAGAAATGGTTAACAAATGTCCTCCTTCGTTTGCAGGTCTGGGAGGAGAGGAGCAGCTCGGTAAATAATGCATAGCTCGAGAGTGGAGCAAACCCCAGGGGCCTCAAGTCTAATGCTGGGAGCATTAAGGAAAAACTTGTCAGGAGCAAGCACCACAGGGAGGTTTGTACAGCTACCGCTAGGGCACGAGGGGACCTTTCTTGCTCAACAGCAGAAAATCCCAGGAACCATTTTTCTGGGTCCAATAAAAAAAAAAAAAAAGTCAGGAGAGAAAGCCACAAAGCACGCTGGCCATCTGCCTGCAGGCACAGCCATATCAGCTGGGGCCTCCCAAAGCTCCTAGCACAGAAGCGCTGACCCCAGCTCCGGCAGCAGCACCTCCAGGATGCTCAGCACCTAAAAGAAATGCTTCTGAGGGGCCCAACAACATCCGAAAACGCTGCCATAATCCCCAACGCCCCAATGACACAACAACAAACTCCACAGAGGAAACAAGAAGCATCCGAGATACCTCTGCTAGCTGCAAAAAGAAAAGCCGCACTGAGACCACTGCCCATGTAAGCGAGGGCCTGAATCCTGCCCAAATCCCAGCTCGGGTAAGCACAAAATCCCCGCCTGGATTTCCCCCTCGGTTTCTGCCAGAAACGGCCTTTCTTCACTTTCTGTTGCTAAAGAGTGCTGGGAAGTGCTGAGAAGCGCAGCAAGCAGCCAAGTAAATAAACAGCTGATGTTAAGCTGCCAGAGAGCCTCCAAGGTTCAATGATTTAGGAAGAACAGCACAATGCATTTACTGGGCAGTGGAGCTGCAGGGAAATGTGCAAGCCAGGCTACATTTAACCACAAAAAGCAAGGCAAAGAGGCCTCTCACGTGCCCCTCACCTGCAGCCACGGCTCTGTGCAACCAGCCTCTGGGCACAGCTAGGGCTGAGCTGGCTCTCCCAGCAACTGGCACAGCAGCTGGCAAAAGGAGCATCCCAAAAGGAGCATCCAAGCCACATTTTCACACACAAGAGCTGTTCTTCCAGCACACTCAGCAGATCTTCACGCAGGTTTTAGCCACAAGAGATGAAGCAGGTGCTGACCACGTGTCCGATAGCTCACGGACAGCTCTTCCAGCACACAGCATCACAAGAGAGGAGGATTTCAAGAGCTGGTGTGACAAAACTGTATGTGCAGGTGGAGAGCAGACGGGGCACTTCCAAGCCCAGTCCCACTGCTGAGCTGCTCGCCTGAGGAGCCCCTGAATGCAGAGGGTCAGTGCTAGCTGGCGGTGATGCTTCCCACACGCCAGAAGCAGCCAGCACGTGCCCCAGCCGCACAGCAAACAAGCTTTCTCCTCCTTCCTAAACACATTCCCCTGTTCAACTCCCCATGAGCCACACGTCTGCCCCTTTGCCGTGCTGTCACTGCAGAGATGCGTGGCGCCAGCTGGAGCACGGCTCTGCCAGCTCCCAGCCCAGCCCCAGCAGCTGCAGGCGGGCGGCCTCAGCCCCCTCCCGCAGACACAGCTACGGGACAGGAGCACAGCACAATGAACCTCAGCTCAAGCACACCCCCAGGCCACGCTGTGCATGGAAACCCAAGGAGGTTTTGCCACCTGGAGCAGACTCTATCCTGCTCCATCCTGCGCTGTGTGATGGAGCCAGCGTTTTCTGAAGGGGAAAGAACGAGCTCAGAGAGCGGCTCAGAGCACAAGTGGAAAATTATCGGGACAAACCACACGCATCCTGGCTTCTCCAAGTACTTCTAGGAACACATTTAAGCAGGTGAGGCCAATAGCTGCTATCAACACTCCCATGTCTCAGCTGCACTGGAAGAGCACTCAGGCTGGGAGTCCACAGCAAGCATCCCTCGCTTCTTGGGGGTTCATACGAGAAGGGAATTAATTCAGTGTTTAACTGCACTAGCTCATGGATTAATTATTTCAAATGGTTCTCTTAAGAAACAGGAATACACCGAGGAACAGAAGCTGCACCTGTACCACAGGAGCCCACCCAGCTCAGCACAGGCTGTGCAGAAGCCAACAGGGCAGCTCCAGCTCCTGGACAGGCTCTACTCACCCCCCCTGCCTTCACCACCCTCTGCAAGAAATGAAGCAACTGAATATAGGATAGTAAAAAGATGGTGTCACTCTATGGGGGGAAGCTGTTACAGCACAGATCTGCAGGCTGCAAAGCAATGCTGAAGAGGAACTACAGCCTGCTGGCTACGAGCTATGTTTCCCCTAAGCAATAATCTCCCAAATTACTCCAGTTAAAAATCATCTGGTTCCACTAAAGCAGTGTAAAAATATTTGTAGTTTGCAACGCAATCAGCTCAGTCGAACCAGCCACCACAGGCAGGTTCAAAGGATTTATTTAAGGGATTCTAGCAGAGGCCTGGTGAAATTTTCTAACATGCAGATTAGGTGCCAGCTTAAGCTGAAATCAGCAGCACCAATGCCTCCAACGAGCACCCTTCACATCTTCGAAGCTTCTCCCTTCCATGCTGCCCCATCCCTTTTACCCGTACCGGCTGGACGTTACGTTTGTCTCCTCCCATCCCAGCCAGCCTTACTGCTCATTCCGCACAGAGGCACAAGACAAAAGCTCTCTGAGCTTCAGAGCCAGAAGAGGGCTCACCAATAAAATCAGGTTGCAAGGGGGCTCCAGAGGCCAGCAGCTCAGCGTGCTCCCCACCCCTGCTCCAAATTAGATCAGGTTGGGCACGCTTACACAAAGCACTTTAGTCTGTTTGGGTCTCACCATCTAGGCCTTCAGCTGCCACTAATTCCAAGAGTTCATTAAAACTCGCAGGAGCTTGATGTTTTCCAGTTAGAAGCAGTCCTGTTAATTTATGAATGGATTTAATGAGCTGCTGTGTCACCACCAAGACCTTGCTGGCAGGAAACGAAACAGCAACACAGTTTTGGTTTTTTTTTTTTGGATCCTTCTCCAGGCACAGAAGCACAATGCAGACGTCTCTGCAAGGTCCCTGAAGGCTGCAGCTACGTGACCCGACCCATGCCAATCCTGCATTGCACCGGTGTCACGCAGGGGAAAGGAGCCATGACATGGATCAAGTGGCAAGAACAGCACGTGTATATGTGTGTGTGTGTGTGTGTGCAGAGCAGCAGGCTTTTGGTTTATTTATCTAGGAGTTTTGTTTAACTTGACAACATGCGATATAAGTGCAGAGTTCAAAGCCACGCAAAGCGATAGGCTCCAGTTGTTCTTCCTCTCTATCAGTCTGTCAGCAGCAACGTTGCTCGGGGAGCAGGAGAGCTGCTGCCTGCGAGCCCC